TATATATATATAGTATTTGTGTATTTTTGCTTGTTCATTTGTTTTTCTTTCTACATCGGAGAAAGTCGCACATAATGACAGATCATGGCCATATTATTAAAAGCTTAGGGTAAGAATGGGTATTGTTCGAGCGCCCAAAAATAATATTCCAAAGCTTTTGTATGTTCTCCTTTACTTGTGTGAATAAGGCCTATGTTATAAAGTATATAACTTTGATCATAGGGATCAATTTCCAATCGCATACCCTCATAATAATTCTATAAAACTTCCACATAATTTCCTTTAGATTGAGCTAACATTCATTACGATCGTCATTCTCTTCAAAGAATCTCTACTCCAAAATTGCATGTGAAATTTTCATCTCATATGGCTCCTCCCTTATATATGTAATGATAAAAATACATAGAATCCAAAAATATTTTAGTATTCTCATTATCAACTTAAGACTAGTATTTTTATAACAAATCTCTAGCCAACCTTCCTATAAAAAATTCTTCCTTAACATTAGGTATCTTGGTACCGGACAAAAAGATAGTAACTTCAACAATTCTTTGTCCTCAACATTGCTTAGTTTCTTGAAATTATTCACTTCAAAAATCTTTGATGGTTATACAAGTATCCAAAATACGAACGAGATGGATGCTTATTGTCCCAACCAATTCTTGTTTGTCTCAATACCAATAAGACATGGAAGGATATATATACAAAACAAAGTTTTCGTGTTGTCAATTCCCAAGCATAGAACTTCTTTCCCCATGCTCCCTATTAATACTAGTAGGTTAGGGTTATCCCAACCCCATAAGTATAACCTTTTGCTTTATACTAGAAACCTAAAATTCAAGCATATGAGGTTGCATTAATAGAGGATACACAGCAGAAGGAATTAATTATGTTTTTTTTTTACAAATTTCAGCTTCAACATGCATGTTTCTTTTTTTTTTTTCTTTTTTTTTACCGATTTCAGTTATATATATATATATATATATTATAATTATACCGGTGTAACTTTTACTAAGTATTACACCGCTCAATAACTTTATACTAAATGTGAATTTTGTAAATCCAACCATTAGATTGAAAGTTCATATCACTTTATATGTATATATCAAATTTTGTTAAAATTGAATAAGAACTTGAAGATAATCAAAATGTTCATATTTTAGTATATTTTGAAATATATATATTACGTCAATTTTGTTTTATAAGAATGAAGTATCAAATCATTTTGGATTAATATAAAATTTTGTATATATGATCTAAGAGTAAAGAACTTTTAATTTAATGGTTAGATTTACAAAATTCACATTTAATATAAGGTTATTAAGCGGTGTAATACTTAGTAAGAATTACACCGGTATTATTATAACCATCCTCTCTCTCTATATATATATATATATATATACACACACACACACAAATCACACCTCCATCTCTGTAATAAGTGAATGCCTTTATTTCTCCCGAATTTGTCGGAATTATTCATAATAAAATATTGGCTATAATTGAAAAGGTATTGTCAATAAAATTTTCATTTATCCAAGATCTAGGCATAGGTAGACATTCATTCTATAATTTAATTATCTATCGTAAAAGAAATAAATCAATTCCACAAATACACAATCTCTATTTGATAGGACCTTCCTATACCTATGAATTTCATTGGACCAAAAAAAATGATACATTAGAAGAATCATATAAGTTTTCAATATCAATAGGTTGATTGTTCTGCTCCTGTATCTTCCAAAAAGGAAAAAAGATCTCTGAGACCTCTTTCCTAGATCCGAAAGAGATTACTTGGATTTTCCCAATAACTACAAAGTATATCATGCATGAATCTAACAAGGGTTTGCAATAGTGGAGGGACTGGATAGCGAAAAAGAGGGATTATAATTATAATATATAAAATGAAACTATCGTTGGAATTAAGATCTCATTCAAAGAGAGAGAGATCAAATATCTCGAGTTCCTTTTGTTAAGTCAGACGAAGAAACTCCCAACAAAGTTTTCAGTGAGACAAATATAATACATGTGGTTATCTCTAACAAGTGTGTTAGCATTTCAGAAAAACATAAGAACAGGTAAAATGAAGAACAAGCATATGCATCAGACGATACAAGACGAACAAACGAAAGGCTAACTCAAGTATCCAACAAGTCAAATCAAGAACAAGACAAAAGCGCGTCAAGCACAACCTAAAGCGAAACATAAAGACTCAGACGAAGATTGGTCAAAGATAATTTGAAAGTCTGACCATATACAAGTTGACCAAATGAAAGGAAAAGTCAATGCGTTAATAACAAATGCTCAGACAAAGGTCAAGATTTGAGCTACATATAAACTACTAGACGCAAACGAAAATTGTCATGCAATCACCTAAGGAATCAACTTTCAAAGGAAAATTTGAATATCATTCACACTCACAAGAGAACACACGAAGTCATTGAAATTGTGAGAAGAAAAGAAGAAAGGAGAAAATCAAGCGCAGAACTAAAAGCATGCATGTGTCAGAAAAAGTACATTACTTTTTCAGACAAGAAAAAAAATTCCACAGCTATAAGACCAAAAAAGGACAAAAAGGTTCCTAGGTCTCTGCTAAACTTAGACACTGCTGCTATCAAGACAAAGAGTACTTCACGCAAGGTCTATCACAAGAAGCAACATTTAATGCAAGAATCTAAACATTAAATGAGAAGAACAACCTAGTCGTGAATGAATATATCTGCTTCAACGGACCCTTGCAATGGGCAGATTTCACAAGACTGTATATAGGTCTCAACATCAAACCTTAAAAGGTTGGTTGTTTGACCCAAAATGGTTCAAGTGAGAAAAAGAGTGATATCCAGCCCATGATGCAACGAAGCCAAAGACAGAGCATATAGAGTCAAATGTACCTTAGTATATTTCTCTCTGGAGACTAAGGAGTTCCAAACATGTGTATAATAGGAACAAAACCTTAGTGAGTGTGCCAACTTATGTATCCTCTCCATGAGAGTAAACTAAACACTCAGTCATTGTAAAGACTAAGATAGTGAAACCTTAGAGAGTGTAGATCATCTATGTATCCTCTCTGTGAGAGCAACCCAAACACTCAAACTTGATTATATGTCTATCAAATGTAAAGCTTGAAAAGGCTAGGAAAAGAATACTTGTAGAAGCCCGGGAGGGCTTGTCAAAGAATACTCACTACGAGCCTGAAGAGGCTAATTAAAGAATACTAGCGTTGGTGAGTGAAGCTGGCGAGCCAGGAGTGGTCGAGAATACTTGGACTAGGAGTGGTTCTGACCTGGACGGTCCATAATACTCACTACTAGCTAGAAGTGGCTGATAAGAATATACTAGCGCTGGTGAGTGAAGTTGGCGGGTCAGGAGTGGTCGAGAATACTTGGGGAACTAGAAGTGGTTTGAGAATACTAGAGGTGGTGAGTGAAGCTAACCAACCAGGAGTGGTTGAGAATACTCGTGACCAGGAGTGGCCGTGACCGGGATGGTTTAGAATACTCAAGGCCTGGAAAGGTCGAGAATACTTGGACCAGGAGTGGTTCTGACCTGGGTGGTCCATAATACTCAATGCTAGCCTAAAGAGGCTGGTAAGAAGATACTAGCATCGATGAGTGAAGTCAACAGGCCAGAAGTGGTCGACAATACTTTTGTACTTAATTGCATATTTAGTGGAACCTTTCAGTTGAAGGATAATGGACGCAGCTCAATCTAAGTGAACCAGTATAAAAATGATGGCATTGTTTTATTTATATTTTAGATGCAAACTTTTCTTAATTGACAAATCATATTAAAAACTTCGTCTACTGTCTATTCTTCATTAAAACCATTTTTCAGACGAAGACGCAATTTTTGTTTAACAAATATATTATACTGGAAAGTTTTATCTACTGCTTATCCTTAAATGAAACTATCTTAAAAAGGAAAATGCAAGAACTTTAATTATTATTGTTATAAACCATTTTCCTCAGCAGACGATAAATCCTTCAGACGCAATGACCTTCTGTTAAGCGAATTCTGCATAATCGTCTAGTATTTAAAAGTGCATTGGACGAAGAACATTACTCCTGCCAAAAAGATTTTTAAAATTTCTTCGTACTCACACACAAATATTCAAACTCCCCTTCTATGTGTATTTCATGCCTAACTTCACCTTTTTGTATATTATATAGATATAGGTTATTTTATTTGTAAGAACTATGATTTTTTTCTTTGATAAGAATGTATAACTATTTTTTTTCCAGGTTGTCCCTATAAAGATAAAGAAATACATTCAGCAGTGACTTTATATCCAAATTAAGATCAAACCTTTATTATTGGTTAAAAAACATAGGTATCAAATCATTTGAACTAGTAACTTTTGATATAAATGTTATGTAATCAACTTTTTCTATTATTATAAAATAACTTTTTTTAAAATATAAATAAAATACACTTTAATACATAAAACTAATAAAAATAATTTTTTATTTTATATACATATATATATATATATATATATATAACATTTTAAATTAATAATTTGTGCATTGTATGAGGAACGATACTAGTTACATAAACAATGGTGGTAGTAGTCTAAGTGTCTTCCCCTCCCAATCCCCTCCCCATGTTTTAGTGTAAAAGCAGTAGTATTGAATTACGATAGAGTCGACCTAATAGCATTCTTACTAGAGAAAAAAATGAATTAGGTTAGAGAAAGAAAAATCATCTCTAATAGTCTTGTATCGATAGAGTCGACCTAATAGCATTCTTACTAGAGAAAAAAAATGAATTAACGAGAAAAATTAGAGAGGGAAAAATCATCTCTAATAGTTTTGTATCGATAGAGTCGACCTAATAGCATTCTTACTAGAGAGAAAAAAAAAATTGAATTGACGAGGAAAATTAGAGGGGAAAAAAACATCTCTAATAACGTAGAGACAGATTTAACACTTTTCCATCTCTAAATTAATTTTCTTTTGTATGTAATATGCCATATGGGATGAAAAATAGTCCATGGACCCTTTTTGAAAAGTAGATTATATGTATATATATTAGACCTTTTCTTTTTTATTACAACAAGAGCTTATAAGCTAAACATTTAAGCATGAATTTGAATACCTTGTTCACATAAAATTTGAGCTAATCACTTACAATTCTCAAGAGTTGTGCATATTTTAATCAAGAACTTGATGCACAGCAAAAGGCGCAGTGTTAACTTTTCCGGGATATCCCAACACCATCTCAACGACCATTTCAGCAGTCCCCAAAGCCTGGAAATTTCTCCAAAATTAGAAGAATTCTCAATATTAGATGTGGAATTTGAATGGAATAATTCATTTATTTGAAGAATTTTAAATTCTTGGAGGTGAAATACCTTGTTTGAATGGAGAATTTATAAGGAATTTGAAATTCAATTACTTGTGAAATTCTTTGAAATAGTAGAATTTCAAATTCTCCAAAAAAAAAAAGTAAGAATTTGAAATTCCTTTTTTTTTTTCTTCTTATTTCATTTATATATTTTAATCTTATCTCTTATCTCTTTATGTTTTTAATTATTGAATATTCAAAAATATTTTTAAAATTATTAAATATTATCTAATATTAATTTTTAAAATTATTAAATATTTAAAAATTAGCTAATATTTATTTTTATAAAATTTAAATTAAAAATCTCAACATATAAATATATTTTTAAAATCAATTTTACCATGGTGGAATCAAATTATCATATCCAAACCAACAATTTAAAATTTGAGAAATTTGAGTTGACTTATCCAAACAAAATATTTTAAGAATGATAAAAAATGAAATTAAAATAATTCAAATACCAAGAATTTAAAATTCCTTAAATTTGTAAAATTCCTCGCCCAAACACACCATAAATGTTTATTCAGATTTCAGAGTGCATGCTAACTACCATCCAAGTATAGGCAGTGTTATAAAGTTATTTTCTTTATAATGAAAAAATAGAAGTATCTGAGAAGTGAGAACTCACCATTGAAAGCCCACTCCCTTCATGTCCAGCTGCAAGGTACACATTTGACAAGCCAGGCACAGGCCCAATCACTGGCTTCCCATCAGGCACTGAGTAAACATTATGCAAGTCAAATATTATATGCTGTGTACAAAGGTTTTGAAAATATAAATAGTTCAGCTGCATAAGATAGCACAGAGATATAGTGACTCACTGTAAGGTCGTAATCCTATTCTGACTTTTCTACTTGCACTTATATCTGAAAGGGAAAGCATTTTCAATTTGGGAAAGAATTCTCCAACTCTCTTCCATATGTAACTGACAACAGACTCGTCCAAATTGGTGTTGAAACCAACAAATTCACGGCTACTCCCTTGTAGTGGATAAGATTATGGGTTTTCACCACAAAGAGCAAAATAATGTTAAAATTCTAAAATAACATAGATACATTTGTATCAATAGCATAATTTGATCTATTTCATGAAAACTAAAGATCTATTTATTAAGGATATGAAAATAGAGTTGTGTTCAGCCAAAAGATACGAATACTAATACATTGTCCCCCCCGCCCCCCCTTAAAATAAGCAAATATAACAACAAATATCATCTTGCATATGGAAATGAAACCTTGAGCTGTTAGATTAATTATTGTGGACTAGCATTAATCAATTACTAGGAATTACTCTTTAATTAGCAATATATTAATTATGGTCAATAGTTATTAACTTATAATTATGGTATTGAACTAATTGACGCACAAAGTATTGGGTTTTGTTTTTAGTTACTCGTGATGGTTGGGTTGGGTAATTCTGTTTTAGTAGTCTATTGAGAGGTCTCTATCCTCATTTGTTGTTAATAAATTGCATTTCTATTAAATAATTTATACTTGCGTTGTCAAAATCAAACCAAACCAGTCGGCGAACCGAAAACTGATATGGAAGAATCACAAAATTGGTGTAAACTAACCAATAAAAAACTAGATGAATTGTCTCAAAACCAATCAAGAACCAATCCAGAAAACTAGGTTGAACCAGTCTTTTTTTTTATAAATATTTTTTATTTTAAAATTTTTTAAAATATTTTTATGATGAATTAATAAATATATTTAATAAAAATTATAAATTAGAATAAATTATGTTATTTCTTATGTTTAATAATTTTCTTATAAAGATATAAATTAGTCATTTATATTAATTTATAATTTTTATATCATGATATTTTATATTTTATATTATATTAATCTAAGATTTTCTACTCTAAGTATTAAATTGTTAATATATATTGTTATATTTTATGAAAACTTAAACTTAAATATTCTATTTAGACTTTTACATGCACCTTAAAAATAAAATATATAAAATGATGTCTTATTTTAATTTTAGTTTTATAAAATTATGGTATTATGTTTATGTAATATTATCTTATGTGTTATTTAAATATTATTATTATTATTTTATTAATACCAGTTCAACCACAATTAAACCATTGAACCTTGAACCAGTGACTTAACCGATTTGATAATCGATCCGGATTTAACTAAACAATGATGGATCTTAGAATGAAACCAGATACACGATCTTGATTCATCTCTGTTATGTGATGATGATTTATATGCTGTAATTCATATCTATTTATGAAATGGACATTCTACACTTGCTTTAAATCCATCACGAGCATCCAATAAACACGAAAACAAGTCATTCACTAACTGGCACCACATACACTTGTATGATAGGAAATCCTTTCAAAGATAAAAGAATAATCAATATAAATAATATTCACTAGTCAGAACTTAAAAGAAACATAAGCACTCATCCAACATATAGATTAGCAATATGAGCTTTCCCAATGCAGATATTATTACATGGGTTATGGAAAAGAAGCTTACCAAGAAGAAGATTCCCTGCCGCATCTATACTTGCTACCATTGAAACAGACAAGTTCTTTTCAAGATCGGATGCTTCTAAACCAGAAACTGTTGGATGATTGAGATAATCTGCCTCCATCAAGCCATGATTCAATAGAAGGAAATTGAAATTTTCAAGCACAAGTAGATGACCCTTCACACCAAACAGAAGAAGATATAAAAGGAACACAGGAATTAATCAAATAACAAAATAACCTGATCAGCTTAAATCTTTTGATGCATTTTAAAGGAATTTACTCGAGATGACTTTGTCATGTTTGCACGAGTGTGGGTCAACAATAAATAACTACTTTGTTATTCCTCCCTAAAAGGATGATCCCATATCAAGAAGCCAAGCAAGGAAGGAAATTTCATCGCATGCAAAAGAAGAGTCAATAGAAACATATTGCAACCGAACATGACCAATTCATACTAAACAAACTCAGCTAAAAAGAATACACTACTCGTACACAAATCATGCCCAACAGCATCTCAGTCCAATACCAAGCAAATTATCCAATGGTAGAAGAGATATAAGACAAGTCAAACAGAGTTGTCCCAAGAAGAAAGATGCAACAATTCATTTCAAAGAATGTTGGACCATCCCTTGGTCTGAACACAACAGATAAAATACATACTGAGCTACTATGCATCCATGAAAAATAAATTGTCCTCGCATATGTATGCAGAGCACTTAATGTTCCTATGGAAAATTTTAACTGTTCTGTCATCATCATCATGTCATGTGCAACAGTGTGGTTTGTCAACATTGTTGCACCATGATGCCAAAGGATGTTGATGATTTGATGGCCCACGTGGAAAAGTAGAAAATCAACTTTAAGGTATTAATTAGAGTTATGTTTATTGTGTCAGCATGCAAATATTACATAGAAGTTATATCAATTTTATATCCTAAGTTTGGCTGGTTTGATATCCATATTAGAAAGAGTATCGCACTTGCTTTTACACTTGTGCATAAAGTATCAAAAAAGATGGTAATTTTTGCACAAGAAGCACCGATGTGAACATGGGCCTCGCCTTTATGAAGCAACACATCAATTTAGAGTGACCAACTTCATCTTCATTCTCTAATATATTCATGCGTTATGCAAATCACCTTGGTCATACAGTTAATTGTCCAGACATGCACATATTAAGGACCTTCAAACAACATTTTTCAAATGGCTCTCCCTTTCTCCTTCTCACCTTCTCCCACTAGACTAGATCCGCCAACTCATTTCTTGCCCAGATATAGCGTTGCACATCTAAAGGATCCCAGAAATAGGAAGCCATAAAAAATGGTATTGTAATCAACAAAACATGCTCAAATATACATGCTGTTGCTAACTGATTGCAAATGTCAAACTTAAGGGACTAAACCAAATTTATTTTAAAACTTGAAAAGACAAAAATTGAGAAAAAAAAAAACTGGGACTAAATTGAAAGCTGAAGTAAAGATTAGGTCCTAGGCTTGAAAGGAAAGGAAAGGAAATATTAGAAAATAATGAAAAAAAACAATGTCATATTCCTTTACAGTTTCAAGCAAGAAACAGAATGGATTGTTATTTAATAGAGGAAATTGAGTCCTATGTGCAAAATATAAATACTCGAGTGTCGCAAAGCACACACCTAGTGATTTCTAAAAATCTTCAATATTCTTAGAACTTCTTTTAAGAGACAAATCAGACTATGTGGCAGATAAAGAAAGTTTTTCTTAGTGCCCTCCACTGTGACCACCCACAAACCAAAGAGTATATAGCTTAAAAAAATTAATAAACTGTCACAACTTCATTTCCATTTCTGTAGTAAAATGTACCAAAGTGCATGGTAAATGACTTTATTAGGAAATAAAGTGAAAGAACTCCTAGATATGCAAGATTATATCAGTTCAAGGCTTCAAGATGTATATAAACACACCTTTCTGGGCCTTACTGGAACATGTAACTCCATTCCCCAATTTCTAAACAAGTCCTGTATCAAAGAACCAGTCCAGCAACCAGCTGCAACTATAACTGCTTTCTTGCTGTATAATATGTTCTTGGAAGTCTGAACAGCTTTGACCACCCCATTGCTATCTGACCTGAGCACAAAATGAAATGAAGCATTTAGTCAACAAATTAGTTTCCCTACCAAGACTTTTCGGTGCCACAGTTCATGCAACAGAAACGAAAGAAAGAAAAACAAACCTGATGAAACATTTCACTGGGTCATCATAAAATTCTTTGTATCTTCCTTTTGATGCAAAATTCCTGTTAGTCTGCACAACAACAATAATTTAGCAATATAAGTCATAAATTCCATCATTGTGGCAAGCCTTTACTTGAAAGAAAAATGTAAACATTGATAATATTCACAAGTAGCAAGTAAAAGATATGCAAAGAAAAACGAAGCAAGAATACAGAACCTTCTCAATATATGCAACAGTACGATAAGCATCCAATTGGCAGTCATCTGGTAGATAAGCAGCTGCAGTGTCTTTGTCCACCAACAGATCAGGTTCCTCTTTAAACAAATCACTGCTACACAGGTACTCTGGTTTCAACCCAGCCTCACAAAGTTGTTTCACCCTCCCTTTTAGCATGTCTGACTCAGCATCAGTTCTACCAATTAATAGGCTTCCTGTAGATCAAAAGATATCCCACATGACTCACGTCAAAGTTCTGATCAGTGGGGAAAAGAGGCCTAGACCTTTAATGAATATAAATATCAACGCCTCCTGCATATTACTGCACACAACACTTTCAGAAGACTGAAAAGTTCAGTTGTACCTTAACTGCTACAGGATAATCCATAGCAACCAAATAGCATCTCAAAGTCACAATGATATGATATCAATCATAGAATATAAGTTGAAAGAAAGGATGCTAATGATTTGTTTCTCACTAATTATATTTTTCTCTTACTCTATTATAGAGATACATTTGTCCCTAAAACATGTAATTGTGAAAATAAACAAAAAATAAAGGAAACAAGGTAAAATTATAAAATAATATCAAATCTCCGAAGATACCCCTATTTACAACACTTCCCCTCAAGTTGGTAAATGAAAAATATCAATCATTCCCAACTTTCCTATTAGCTCTTGAAATCTACAAGTAGGAAATCCATTAGTAAGTACATCTGCCACTCGAAATCCTGTAAGGACGTGAGCTGTAATAATAAGACCACTGTCTAACTTCTCTTTGATGAAGTGTCTGTCTATCTCAATATGCTTGGTCTTGTCATGTTGGACTAGATTGTGAGCAATGTTGATGGCTAATTTATTATCACAAAACAACTTCCTAGGTAGCTTTATTTTAATTCTTAGGTCATCAAGAATAATCTTCATCCATAGCACTCCCATATGTCATGTGTCAAGGCTCTGAATTCAGCTTCTACACTAGATCGAGCAACTACATTCTGTTTCTTATCCTCCAAGTCACCAAATTGCCCCCCAAACACATGCAGTATCCAGAAGTAGATCTTCTATGTGTGACTGATCCTGCATAATCTGCATCAGTATAAATCTCCAAAGACATGGTGTCTCTTTTTCTGAATAGTAATCCCTTCCTTGGACTTGACTTCAAGTACTGAAGGATCCTATCAACTCCCTACATAGGCCTGTCCTGGGGGTCATGCATAAACTGACTAATTACACTCACAACATAAGCAATATCTGGTCTAGTGTGTTATAGGTAAATTAGCTTTCCTACCAATTTCTCATATTGAGACTTTTCCAGTGGAGGACTTTCTTCACTTCCAATTTTGTGATTCTGTTCAATTGGAACTTCTAAGGTTCTACATCCCAACTTTCTTGTTTCATAAAAAAGATCAAGGACATATTTTATTTGAGAGATAAATATGCCCTTCTTGAAATAAGCAACTTCAATTCCCAAGAAATACTTCAACTGCCTCAAGTCTTTCATCTCAAATTGTGATGCCAACTTCTTCTTCAGGGTCAAATTTTCTTCTTCATCATCACCTGCAATGATCATGTCGTCTACATAGACTAAAAGTATTGTGCGATTTCCATTAGGGGAGTGTTTTATGAACATAGTATGATCACATTGACTCTATTAGTATCCCAAGGAAATCATTGTCTAGGTAAATCTCCCAAGCCATGCTCGTGTTGACTGCTTGAGTCCATACAAGAACTTTTTTAAATCTACGTACTTTGTTTTCTTCATCTCAAGCTCCAAATCTTAGGGGAATACCATGTAAACCTCTTCTAAATCTCCATGCAGGAAGGTGTTTTTTACATCAAACTGTTATAAGTCCCGACCAAAATGAGCTACCAGGAAAAGTATAACATGTATTGTATTCATCTTTGCCACCAATGCAAACGTCTCCCCATAGTCTATCCCATAAGTTTGGGTGTACCTCTTTGCTACCAATCTTGCTTTATATCTATCTATTGTCCCATCAGCTTTGTGATTCATTGGAAATATCCATCCACACCCTACAACTTTCTTGTCTTTGGCTCTATCTATAATTCCCCCATGTTGAGTTCTTTTCCAATGCCTTCATTTCTTCTTTCATGACTAGAATCCAGTGCTATTCTCTCATAGCTTCCTAGATTGGATTGAAGTTGGGATATCTATTGAATCAATAGCAACAATAAAACTTTGATGCTGAGCAAACAAATGGTCAATACAAATATATTGTGAAATAGGATATGTTAGAATAGCTTGTTTAGAAAGCTTCTTCTTCTTTAAATATTTATTGTATTTTTCTGATTGGACTTTTCTCCTGATGTGATTACTTAGGCTTCTAGACTCTGTAGCCTTTTCTTCTTGTAACCGTAATCACTCTTTATATAAGGAAATATACAGATCAATATGACTAATCCTTTTTGGCCAATCTATTTCAATATTCAAGTTGGTATCAGGGCGGGGTCGATCCCACTCTGCTGTCTGCCGCCGTTCGCCGGTGACTTTTACTCCGGCGAACCTAGGGTTTGGTGTGCCTCATCCAACACGACCTAACCCTGTCAACTCTAGCGTCATCGGAGGGCTCACGCGCTCGCACGCGCTGCTTCTCTCTCCAGTTCTATCAAGCGCGTATTGTTCACGCGCCGCCGTCTGCTCGTCGGAACTTCCTCATTCAACCACCGCCTTGTTCGTCGGAGCCTTCTGAGCCCATTTCTAGACTCATTTTTCTGATTTGACCATTAGTTAAGGCGTGGATCTGCGTTTCTATTCTGCTGGTTTTCTCTCTCTAATCCCAGTTGCACTGTCCTTCTTCTTATGGCATCTCCAGGTCCTATTTTACCCATTTCTGGCACTGCGACCATAACCACGGAGAAGCTCAATGGAAAAAATTATTTATCATGGGCTGCCTCTGTGGAACTATGGTTCCTTGGTCAAGGGTACCACGATCACTTAGAAATGGAAGATACTGAGGGTTCAGATGAAAGTCGAGCTAAATGGAAGAAGCTTGATTTTCAACTATGTGCTATGTTGTGGCAGTCGGTTGAGCCCAATATTTTGGGGACACTTAGAGCCTTCAAAACTTGTTGTTCTTTCTGGAAAAAGGCTCAAAATATTTATGCAAACAATATTCAGCGGTTATATGATGCTACTCAGAAAATAGAATCCTTGAAACAAATTAATCATGAAATGACGTCTCACATTGCTGAAGCCCAAGCTGCTCTAGAAGAAATAAAAATGTTCCTGACAAATGATTGATTAGAGGGAATAAATAAAAAACTTGATAGGCTATATATGGTGTTGATCCTGAGAACATTGCACCCAGACTTCAATCATGTTAGTGACCAGATTCTGATCGGCCACGAGATTCCTTCAATGGACAGCCTAATAGCTAGACTTCTTCGTGTCCCTACAGAAGTGAAGAATGAAAATTCTGGTGGAATTGTTGAAGCTTCTGCAATGGTTTCTAGTCAGGGTAGAGGTGGTCGTGGAAATCGAGGAGGTAGAAATGGTTGTCCTCAAAGCTCATATTGCAAGAGGATGGGTCATATCCAAGAGAATTGTTATTATCTTCATGGTTTTCCAGAGAAGATAGCAAATCTGTCCAAGTCTGAGAAATTAGGAAAATCTGATATGAAGGTTCCTGAAGATGACTAAGGAATATCTTAAATGGAAATCAATGAATCAAGCTCAATCTTCCTCTACCACTACTGTTTCTACAGCTTGTATTTCTCATTCAATTGCAAATCAAAGTCCATGGATCATTAATTCAGGAGCCTCTAATCACATAACTGGTAATAATTCTATGTTTTCTTCCATGTCCCGACTTAAATCGCCCTCACCTTATTACCTTAGCAGATGGATCCAGAATTGCTCCCAAAGGAATCGGTCAAGTCTCTCTGTCTCCCTCATTAAATTTAAACTCTATTTTGTTTATCCCTAATTGTCCTTTCAACTTAATCTCTTTAAGCTAGTTGACCAAATCCTTAAATTGTTCAGTAACCTTTAATGTTGAATCTTTTGTTATTCAGGAACGTGGTACGGGTCGGAAGATTGGCGCAGGACATGAATCTGGAGGTCTCTACTATTTTGAAATGCAACCACCTGTGTCTTGTGTTGCTGTTTTGTCACCCAAGCTTTTGCATGATCGTTTGGGTCACCCAAGTCTATCCAAGTTGAAACTTTTGGTCCCTAGTCTTCAAAAATTAGAAGAGTTAGGTTGTGAATCATGTCAATTAGGAAAACATGTTAGGTCGTCATTTCCCAAGCAAACTGATAAAAGATGTAACTCGATTTTCACCACCATTCATTCTGATATTTGGGGTCCAAGTCATGTAACATCTTTTGGTTTCAGATATTTTGTAATCTTTATTGATGAATTTTCCCGATGTACTTGGGAATATTTAATGAAAGATCGTTCTGAACTTTTGTCTATTTTTATGTCCTTCAATGAGATCAAAAACCAATTAAAAATTTTTGAAGTGACAATGCAAAAGAGTATTTCTCTTCTGAATTATCCTCTTTCCTATCCTCACAAGGTGTCTTGCATCAGTCTACATGTCCACATACACTCCAACAAAATGGAATAGCAGAAAGGAAAAATAGACACCTTGTAGAGACTGCATGCACCCTAATGCTCAATGCAAATGTTCCTGTACATCATTGGGGTGATGCAATTCTCACTTCTTGTTTTTTAATAAACATGATGCCCTCTTCTTCTCTTGAAAATAAAATCCCTTACTCCATTATTTATACAAAGGAACCCTTGTTTTATGTCTCACCTCGAGTCTTTGGGTGTACATGTTTTGTCCATAATGTCTCTCCTGGCTTGGATAAATTATCTGCTCGAGCAATCAAATGTGTTTTCTTAGGCTATTCTCGTCTTCAGAAAGGGTACAAATGTTATTCCCCAGAGACCAGAAAATTATACATGTCTGCAGATGTCACCTTCTTTGAACAAACTTCTTTTTTCTCATGCACCACTCATGATTCTCTTTCAATACAACAAGTGCTACCAGATTGTTCTCATGATTCCTTTCCACCTCAACTTTCAATTCAAAACCAAGAGGTTCCTCAGTTTGTTATTCCCACCACTACTCCTATTCCAGCTACCCCCCATCCTCTTGTTACATATCACCGTTGACCACGACAAATTGGTCCGACATTACTTGAAGGGTCACCAGATTCTTGTCCTTCACCATCAGATGCCCC